TTTTCCAGTTGGACTCTTTAAACAAATCTTTATTTTGATGCTGAAATGATTGATACTGGAAGATACTCTGACTCATGATTTAATGAAGAGATTTTAATTATATACATACTAGTTGTTAAAAAAAATAACTTATCATTTCAGAAATTATTCTTTTAGATGTCTTGATTTTGATGTCACTATCATGTGACTTCTATTCTTGTTAATATGTAACTAATTTTTAGGTTTATTGAATGGATTAAGGTGAAAAGAAATCCTTTTGTGTTCTTACCAAATCACTTATTAGTTACACGTATCCAATTCGCCCCCCCCCCCCATCCCCTTCTAAATATATCTATGGATGATAAATTATGACATTTTTCATGATACGTCAATAAACTTTTGGTGTTTCTTGCCTCTTTGCAAACGATTAAAACGAAACCAAACATTCTTTTATTATATATGTATCATATTTACAAGACAAAATGAAATTGGTCGAGGGCAATAATTCCACAAATCAAACAACAGCCTATAAAGATATTAGCTAAATTCCACGTGAGTTCGATAAAGCTGACTGCAAATAGACACAAGAAACAACCGCTTTAAACCGACTGATCATGTGATATTATATCTTTTTTTATGATAGATCGCGCTTTATGATTGCAATATCATAAATTGGGGCGTTAACTTTAGTTTGTCTACGCACGAGCACAATAGCCAATAAAATATCGTTCCAACTAGGCTGTAAATCTTTTAAATTCAGTTCCTATTTTGTTTTGTCCCTCTCTTTTTCAGATGCCATATTTTTCGTCTTTGTGCTGAGTTGATGGGCGCATGTTCGAGCCGTGATGGTGGTCCAAAGAAAGCAAACATCGAAACGAACTCTTCTTTTCAGCCTCAAATATAACACAGACCGAGAGTAAATTTGGAGAAGACAACCCAGCCATATAGACAAAGGTCAGTTCGATCCGTTTTGCTACTTTTCTGCTTCTCAGACCCCCCCCCCCCCCACCCTCTACCATTTTCTCAATGGGTATATACATACATGTATAGATACCACTTATTTCTTGATTGATGGAAACGAAAGAATGGCAGGTATTTGCTGGGACGTAATTTGCAGATGAATTCTCATAGTTTCACGTGCCAACTTCTAGGTTCATATGCATTCGTGTCATAATTAATCACGAGTTTTTACTTTACTTGTGAGTGACAATGTGTGTTTTTTTTCTTCTTGAAAGCCCCTCTCTATCTCCCTTTCTCTTTCCCTCTCATCCCTTCTCTCCAATCCCCCCCCCCACCTCTCTCTCTCTCTCTCTCTCTCTCTCTCGTTGAACTTTAACGGTGTATGCTTTTTATAATGAGCCAGTATATACGACCATATCCATCTCAAATTCAATGATTTCGTTCAGCTTTGATAACTAGTTGGTTTGCACATAATCAATTCAGATAAAATAGGTATTTTAGTAATGGCCCTTTGTATTATGTACCCTCCCCCTCTACCTTTCTCTCTCTCTCTCTCTCTCTCTCTCTCTCTCTCTCTCTCTCTCTCTCTCTCTCTCTCTCTCTCCTGATCTTTATTTTAAATAGTAGGTCATGAATTTGAACTTCACTGTAACACACTATACTTCACGTGATTCTAACTATATATGATACACATAAGTATCATACAGGTAAAGGAAAAAACGTGTTCATGAACAAGAAAAAAAAAGTTTTGATGAAGAATATGATTGAAGACGGTCCAAATGTTTCCCAAGGGTCTAATAAAACTGGGACTCTCCTGCCGACATCATTAATCATGACCAAGTTCATTTGCTGCAGGGCCAAGGATGCTGTACACCAATCTATTTCTCTCTGCCAGGGCGTCGCCAGGTGATTTAAAAATGGGGGCGGGGATGTCAAATATTTTTTTTTAAATCGACATTATTGTGTGTCGAAAGGAAGGTTTTTTGGTCAACAGGCATCCAATAAGTTTGTAAACATTTTTTAGAGGTAAGAGAAGTCCCGATATTTGTTTTAATTTACTGATTTTTATTGTATTTTTAAGGGGGAACCATACGTCACCGCCCCATTCACCCACCCCCTCCTGTAGCGATATACATTATATACCTCCATGCATGGGTTGGAGGAAACTGGCGAAGATTTTTAGTTTTCTCTCCAAGGGCATAACTTTGTAACTACCGCGTATAAACTTTCGGTATGTCACTTAACAACCAGAATCGACTTTGAGTATTAAAAGTGTTGAATATTTGAAAAATGATGCAGAATTATCAATGTATTATTGGACTGCATACACCTATCGAAATAATAAATGAACAAGTAAATTAATTCATATGAACGTCATAAAATTGAATGTATAGATAGCTAGACCTTATATCATCAGCCCCTTTTATCCGCTTCAGTGTTAATCGTTTGGTTTAAAGGTTTGCAATATTCCGAGTTTGTAACGCTTCTTTATTTGTATAAGTATATAGAAATAAATCAATGCATATAGATGAAAGTCAATTAATATATAATGGTAGCGTTATCATGTATCACAGTTTATTGTATTTTTGCCGGTGTATCTTTGGGTATAACCAACTCCAACGCGAGAGAATATGTTTAAGAGGACGAAGGCATAAAGGAAGAAGGGATCATTGGATTTCTCCTAACCGGAAAGAAAGAGATATAGATCGAATTATTCTCAAGGTATCTATTAATAGGAACTAGATAAAAATGTGAATAACGACTAAATGCAATATAATAAAAAAAAATGTATAACCACGCACATGTCCGAAACTGTCGATCAAGGCGCGAAAACGACAAATATGCAACTAACATAGAAATAATTCAAAAGATAACAGGTAATGAAACTAAAATATTATATATATACATATTTTAGTACTAAAATGCAGGGTTAATTAATAATTAAGTTTACAGGGAGAAAAGAAGAAGAAGAAGAAGGAGAACAAAAAGAAGAAGAAGAAGAAGAAGAAGAAGATGGAGAAGGAGAAGCAGAAGCAGAAGAAAATTATCACAATGTGCCTTTGCCACATTATTACGATTCCTTGGTTTTTATAGTCATAAGCCAATTATATGAATTAAAGTACTATAACATTTTTACGTACTACTACATGTTAAAAGACAAGTTTGAGGTACCGCGTAGGCCTATGTAGTACAAATAATTATGTAGTGGTGCCACAACCAAAGCCCTATAGCTTCGTGAGCGCTTCTATATTCGCTGTAATGTCGTCATTCGCTATGTTGTACCAAAGCAATATAACTTCGTCAGGGTTTCTCACATCGCTTCACGTCTTACCCATAACGATAACTTAACGAGGGTTTCCAATGCCCGTTCCATGCCATAACCCATAACTTCGTGAAGGCTTCTCATATCATTCTCCATGTCTTTCTTGGGCTGTGAATACCAGAATAAGAGTTTGCACGTTGAGTGAATGCCTGAGGATTTGGTGTGGACTCCCAGTGGGTAGGGCTAGAGTATCTGTCGCTCTTGAACTCTAAACCGAGAGGGACAGAGAGAGAGAGAGAGAGAGAGAGAGAGATAGAAGGTGTGTATCGGATTATTATATCTCTCTGACGCTCGTCATATTATACATCCTTAAAGGATATAGTCAAGTGTTCCAGTTTCAGGGTCTACATAAAGTTATACAATAAAGCTTGGTTTGGTTTGATTTGATTTGATATACATTAAAATGATTTGTTATAGTTTTGTCGTGTTTATTTATAGTCAATGCATCAGTAGCATTCGTTGTAAAATTGTAATTTAAATTAAATATATATATATAAATACAAAATACTCATAAACTTTGGATTTAGGATTTGAGAGCTGATCCGTTTAGGAGTTGTGCTCATCACCACGAACGCTAGACTTGTTGTAAGTTCAAAGCGCGACTTTATTTTTCATGAAACGAATATGAATATGAAAATAGGTAATGGTCTGAATAATAATGATAATACACAATATTTATTAGGCGCTTAATACGGGTGTCTCTAAGTGCACCATAGGCCTAGTCTGACTAAAAAATGATTTACCAAAACTTATAATAAACACACAACTTATACATCTGAATGCGTCTGAATGTTCATCAAAATAATCTTCTAGCGCCAAAACGTAAAATTATTATTGCGCATATAGTTGCAATATCTTTTTCTAACCTTTCTTCATGTATTTAATATGGTCTATCCTCGATAAATGAATGTTATATCTTCTCAGAACTTTATTTAGCAATGTCCATGTCTCTTAATAAAGTTCGGAGATGATATAAAACTTTATCTGTCGAAGAGACATACTGTTTTAAAACAAAACTGTAACAATCACTTCATGAAAAGAGGTAAGACAAAATTATTCCAACTTTATGGGCGACAGTGTGTTCGGCACAAAACATGGCAATGCAATAGGTGTTGGGATTGAAATTTCTACCAGTATTCTGAATATATTATTGGTAACTGTACTCCGCCAGCATTACACCACGTTTCCTGTATGTACTCAAATCCATTTAGGTCATAAGCCAGGGAAAGTTCGCTAGGTTTAAATCCCGCGCAAATATGACCGTGAAGTGAAGAGAGACGCACAAAAATATGAAAGGTGAACGCTGTATGAAGTTCACGAACACTACCAGTGCGTCGTTCATTCCTAGTACTGAGTCTTGGACTGGAAGGTATGATTACCAAGGGGGATTTGAGGGGAGGGAGGAATTTGTTCTCCTCCAGCCTGAAGCCGACCCGCGAGATTTTAAGAAGATCGGAGAGGTCAGCTTAAACTTTTCTTAAGATCTCGTCTTGAAGCGGGTGTCGTCTGCACAGCCAACATTCCCCGTAGCAAGTCATGCAGCGCGCGCTCCGGTCCAGTGTAGGCCTACGCTTTCTCCTCACACGCTGTTGTCGTACAGCGTGCGCGCTGGATAGGAGCATCGAGACACGGACATCAGCTGTTTGGAGACGAGCTCAATCAGGAAAAGTGGCACGGAACCGGTCTTTCTTTGACATTTTCCAGGACGATTTCTCCTTCTTTTAAACATGGATTCGGCTTTCTTCACTTCTTGGGCTTACATCAACCCTGTAGATCCGAATTTGTGTCCGAGTTTCTCGCCTCTGGTAGTCACAGATTCGTATCTCTGGGTAACTGTATCCCAGGACTTACAACTGCTGGATGACGATGCCCAATGCCTACGGGAGATCTACACCCTTTTTACTAGTGGCAGCCATCTTGAAATTATTGTCTTCATCCATATTTTACCATCATGCCAGTCGTGTAAGTCCAATCATTGAGCTTGGATATCACATATTTTACTATGGAGAAAGTTCAAGCAAGTAGAATGCAATTTTTGTTTTCTTTAAGATACATTTTTGATTGGTATCGTATGATAATCAGCCCAGTCACTGGATAACACAGTCTGGTTGTTGCTTATCTCAATCACTTTATGTTAATTATTATAATGTAAATATAATCTCCATTTTCAAGCAGTTGTACATTTACACCTATTCTAGTTTTGCTTGAAGAGTCAGTACAACCGAAACGTTGATTATTCGATGTTTCGCACTAGCTCGTTTTAATTACGGACAATAACTTATAATTGTATCATTGTATGGAGACGGATCACAAAGAAGTATGTCCCAAAATGAATTGATCAAGAATATTGTACCATTGTGATGATTTAGATAGCTAAATGCATTTATAAAGCGGAATTGATATATGGAAAATGAACACCCGGTTCAGATCATATTGCTTTCCTGTTATCCAAAGCGGAACAATGAATAATTCTTTATTATTCGTTTAGAATGATAAACGCCGTCCTGAAATAGCGCAATCAATAGCTTTGACAGAACGCAAATAAGACATGGCTTTTCTCAAATATTTGTCTGAAGTCAAATATGTGCATTGCCAGGCATAATGGGCATGCTCGTTCTGCATCGCAGGCCGTAGACCAACTTGGTTCAAGTATGCATTATGATTCATATAGCATGCATGTGTAATATCTATGTATATCGGGGCTAACAATGTATACACATTCTTTACAGAAGTTCTATATCTCCGGTTGCTATGGGGTGTAATTTAAAGAAATTTCATAACTGTGAAGTACATGTTGTATCCTTGCTTGGTGAATCTTTAAATGGGCAAAATATCAGATCATCATTTTCCGTTTAAAATACATATTCGTTAGCTGAGAGGCATATGGTGTTTACTTCATATAGAATCCTTCTGGTTCTCTGTCATGCTTGGGAGCCAGTATATGGAAGGCCTACAGACCTGACATAACATTGTATTAATTTATTTCAATAATTTTCGGTAATAATCTCACACACTAACTTACACGAAAAGAAATAACATTAACGTTTCCAACTTTCCAGTAACAATAATAGAGTAACTGTAAATCAGAACAAACTTACGTTATGAGTTGCAAATCGTTGAGAAATATTTGTGTATTATATTCCTAACAATAATCATGCTTAATATGCCAGTATTAATACATGTATTCCTAGTTGGTAAATAAATAAAAAATGGAATGCGACCTGCGGTTTTTCTCACATGATTATAAATATACAGGCAACAGACTTTAATTGAAATAGTGAATCACTTGTAATATAAAAGTCGGCCTAGGTCTGCATTTTTAATTTTCATTATCTCGCCTGAAAATAGTGTTGTCATTAAAAACCATTGAAACTTCAAACTCATTAAATAGTAAATACATGCTGAGAAAGCGTAACCGTAAAGTAACCGTCACTTTGATTTATGCCAAAGTTCGTATTATAGTTGTAATAACTACATGACGACCCGTGTTTTATGAAATTAATTAAATAGTAAGCTGAAAAATGCTGCTAAAATAATTTGATAAATTACGAATTGTTGTTTCTGTCCTTCTCTACGTTTTGGAATAATGACCTATAACAAACAATTTGTACAAAAACAGATAAATATTTGATTTTGGTAAAAATTGTTAATATTTTTCTCAATATAAAGAAATATTTAGGTATATTGTTACATTTCTTAAGGGGAGTCTTAAACGCACAAAGACAACAAAGGAATCATGTTCATAGTTGTTCATGGATGAAGGAATCCTATTTTAACTTACATATATTAAAATCGGAAGTCTATGCTAAAGAATAACGAGTTAAATTGACTGTATTCTTCAAATGAATCTTTGATTTTAAAAAATGGAATCGGAGGGAAACCACAGCGTGACGTAATTTCTTTAAAAAACTCTTCGTCATTCAATTTCTTGAAGTCAAAATCGACTATGGTTTATTTTTCCTTTGTCATTTTAATTTAACTCAATATTTATGTTCGTGCTGTAGGTACGACTAGGAAAGGAAGCTTGAACTTTAAGTGAGCAAAATTATGTGCAGTGAAAATATAACGGCAATGCGTGACTGAAAGATTATAATACTTATTTCGTAATCATGTTGTGAAGATTTTTTTTAAGGGCTAAAATTAAGTCAAAATACAATGTTAACTTTGTATACCCTTGTTGGAGTATTCAGTAATTTCCCTTACATTTTACTGGTCAAAACAACAATCATGACAAAAAATGTTTCTTCATATTCAAACATTCATGATGAGATATCATTAAGGTTTTCTTTTCATGACCATTACTTATAATTTCATTCGATGATTATTAATAAGCATGATATCATGACGTATGTCTATGTCTGTGCAAGGGTCAAATGTACCCAAGTGGTTGTTGTTTCGATAGCGTGAATAGACAGTATGAGCAAGGTTCAGAGTATCTTCTTTCTCTATCATAATAAACCCACAATGACCATATCCTACTCCTCTTGTCTGCTCTCCCTTCTCCTCTTCCGATTATTTTATTTTACTTATTAGCTTCTCATGTACTATTCCCGTCATCTGATTTCCTCTTACACCAGATACCCACTTAAGAGAATATGATCTGAAACAGAATGGCAATTTAATAGTTTTCTTTCAATCTATCTAGCGCATTAATGTTCGTAGTAAAAGGTGAATGCAGTATGACAGTCCAGAATATTTGTGTTTCTTTTAGTGATTCTCATGAGCATTTCTTAAGTAATTTCTTTATGAATATGAAATAATACCCGCAATGTCCAATTCATGCATGTAAATTATAAGATTTTTTACATGACAGATACTTAAATCATATACAGAAAGAAGGCATTATACTACTGATTCATATTTATGTGTATCCTTCGTAAGATGACTAAGTCGATTTACGTTTTGCTTATTCAAACCACTTACCATTTATAGTATTATTCTAGGGCAGAGTCGATTACAAATTAATATTCATTCGGGGCGGGATGTACACTAGGGGGTGAAATATGAAATAACTAGGAAATCGTTGGGAGTGGTTTTTATCACCTTTTTTTTCATGTTCCCTCCCCATCTCCATTTTTTCTCTCCCATATTTTTGTTTTCTTTTTATTTTCGTTATTCGATGAGGAGTCCACCCATCTTGGCTACCTCCCTGTCCGTGTACACAGGTTGTATGTCCAGATATACATAATGATTCCAGTCCCAGGTTGACCCGACCTATATTCGAGCAAGTACAGACGGTGCTGGTCAACCAGCTCATTATTATGTGTTTTCACCTCTAGTGTGAGGTGACCGCCAGAAATGCGCACGCAACTTCACGTGACCTTGTATTGTCCTTGCTCGCCGAAATTCGCCCGCAACCGACATCTCGTGAGCCTGACCTACGTGCAAAATATTGTCTTGTACATAATCTGCAGTGCTTTTGATTATTCTATATTGTCTACTTTCATGGGATCTATTTTCATGAAATGCATGGTATGATATTGATGACACTGTTATTATTATGTTTTGATCATCCTTTGTGTCTTTCTTTGTTTAGTCATATTATTTTCCGGTTTTATGGTTACCCTTTCCCTTATAATGCAAGTAGCAAGTAGTATCGCTACGATATAGGATCTCGTCACCCTCAACCCCTTATTATCATAATTTGTTTCGTGTATATATTGTAGGGTGAATAATATTAATAATAGAATGTCCTTTGTGAATGATTAAGCATCTATTGTTATAAATGAATAGATGAACAAATGAATGAATATATATATATATTTACTAAATAATTAATAAATTGATTGGTAAGACTAAAGAAAAAACTAATAGGCTTAATATAATATATGCATGTCAGAAGTCCAGAACCTGTTGGGCCCTTTCAAAAATTGTAGTGTTTTAAGACATTCTCTATTATCAAATGGATTATTAATCAATTATCTAATTACTTTTGAATACTCGTACCTGATGCAGTGCAAATTGAATACATTTCTTGATACAAGATGAAATAAATGGAATGACATAATGAGAGAGAGAGAGAGAGAGAGAGAGAGAGAAGATGAATAATATTGCAAATTAACTAATGTTACGTTTCGATTAATTTACATAGGCCTACTTCACATTTTACCACGGTATTTTATTTATTTACAAAAAGACAAAATTGCATAGATAGATATTTGTGAATACAAAATACATGCATTTAACACATTTTGCTTTCTTGTATTGACGACTGAGGTGAAATTCTTTAGAGCTTAGAGTAAAAGACACATGTACTCGTCTTCACAAGTCATGCAAATTTGTTTGAATGGATGATCATCAAAAACATGGTGCGCTTAAGTAATGTATATTTTATCTAACAAAGATTAATGAGAGGCAAATCACTGAATTTCAAATCTTATGTTTTACTTATTGCGACTAGGCCCACATGTTATCAGGATGTAACGAACAATTAAAACAACTACAAAAATGCAATATCGATGCACTTTGAAGTGGTGCTAGAAGTAACAAAATATGCAGAATGGTTTTTAACACGAATGCAATGCAAATGAATATAACATCATACAACAATTAGATGTTATACTCTGCTTTAAGAATTTCACACGTATCATGCTTAGGCTACCATTTCCAGTATAAGTTTCCTGCAAAGAAAAAGAAAAGGAAACTATAAAATTAAAAAAAAAGTAACAACAAGAGCACAAGGGTGTCGTGGGCTACGTGTTAAATATGTGTGTAATCCGGAATGCTTGCAAGGGAAATACTATCATAAAAATTAAATATAAATGGTGCCACAATGTTTATGCACTATCAGCAAGAAATTTTATATTTCATTTTCCCTTTTGAACAACGTGCACATTTTGTGATTTTAC